TCTCCTGGACTTTGAAGAATTTAGGAGTAGGCTAAATGTTCCAGCATCTCTCTAGAGCACACCCCTGTGTTCCACTCCCGACACACAGATCAGCCTCATAGATGGCTGATCTTTGAAAGAAGGCAGGACAAAGAGACAGAAAAAAAAAGACGATGAGGGCAAAGTGAAGATCAGTCAACCCTTGGTTGAATTCCTATGTAATCCTAGCTGGTTTCCATGTGGTCTACGGGGGGGAAAGTTCTAGAAAAAAAGTGGAAGGTGGAGAGCCCCACGAGGCAGAGGGTAGAAAGGGAGAAGGCTGGGAATCAGCTTACATCAAATAATGGAAGTAGGGTTTTCAAACATCAAAAGTAATACTGTTTCTGAGGTATTTTCCCCTTACAAACACTGCTGAGTTATTTATGAACCCTAGTCAGTGGTAGATGACAGACCCTAAATCCAGCTGGGTAAGAGTAATCTCCCAAGAGCACAAGGTGAGGCAGACGAAGAACCCCGAGAGAGTCTGCCTGTTGACGCACGGTAGCATCCCGGGCAGCATCACTGGTCCTCATGCTAGACATCAGAGTCATCACTGTGGACTCTACGTTCATAACCCCAGAGTCCATTTCCTGCCGCCTTTCCCAGTGCTACGGTCCCATGCCAGGGCTTTCTGACCTCTCACCTGGACTATTGGCAACAGTTTCCAATCTTGCCTTTAGCCAGGTCACCTGCACTGTCATCTGTCCCCATCACAACAGGGAGGTTTAATCTACCAGCACACGCGTGAGCTCATGGAAACATTCTTATGAGAAACTTTTAGTGACTTCCTGGTGCCTGATTTAGTAGACATCTAAAAAAACGACCTTTTAGTATAGTATTCATGGAATGGCAATGCATCAGTAGAGAGCTCTTCACTCCAGGCCAAACCACCAAGTGCTCTCAGGATCCCTGTGTGCCTGTGGCTCCATGTCTCTGGAAATAGGTCGTTCCTGAATGGATCCATTCAAAAGCTACCCAACCCATGAAGCCTCTCTCATTCCTACCTGTGGGAGTCTGTGGGAGTTCAGCTCCGACCTATCAAAGGGCTCTTAGGTGGAGGAGAGAGGGATAAGAAATCATCAGATAGAAAGAGAGGCCTAGCCGGGCGGTGGTGGCGCACGCCTTTAATCCCAGCACTCGGGAGGCAGAGGCAGGCGGATCTCTGTGAGTTCGAGGCCAGCCTGGTCTCCAAAGTGAGTACCAGGAAAGGCGCAAAGCTACACAGAGAAACCCTGTCTCGAAAAACAAAACAAAACAAACAAACAAAAAAAAAAAAAAAAAAAAAAAAGAGGCCTAGATGATGAGGAGAAAGACAGAGACACAGGATAGCTTTGGGAAGGCCTGGGTCAATACCCAACAGCCTCAAAGTTTATTCAAAAGGGCTTTTTATAACATGCCTAGGGGAGAGGCAAAAGACCTCCCCCTTGCAAGATCAAAGCACACCGTACAGCCAAGTACAGACCCTTCCAAACACCTGGTAAACACACCCGTGGCCAAATCATCTCCTTATGCAGCCCTGCTGGGTAAAGCAAGCTCAGATTCTCTGACCTTGAGTAATTTGGGCTCCCACACCTACCACTCATTAGCTCTTTCCCACTGTGGCTCTTACATGTGAATGTGTTATCTCCATTATACAGAGCTCCTTGGGGGCAGTAACCTGAGCTTTTATTAGTCTTTGGATTCCCAGAGCTTTGTACAATAGGAACATATGGTAAGTATTCAGTGGATTCTTTTTTAGAAGGAATGGATTGTTTCCACCAAAGGTTCTGCCTCCTCATTGTGCACTCATGTACTGCGTACCAACGTTTCAGTCAATGGTGGAGCGGTGGCATATACCCTCATATATCACTTGGTGATGTCTCTGTGGTCACAATGCCATACATAGTCCATTATGGACATGATTGTAGTGATGCTGCTAGAGGGTCTAGACCAAGGTCGTGTACTTAATTTTCAATTAAAGGTTTAAAGATAAACACAGAAGAGGCTTACATGATGAAGATGTGAACAAAAAAAGTTTACAGCTGTACAGCTGTGTTTAATAAATGGTTATCACACAAAAGGACAAAGTTAAAAGTTTACAAGGTAAAAAGTTATAGTAACAGAACTGGAGAGATGGATCAGCAGTTAAGAGCACTGGCTGTTCTTCCACAGGATCCAGGTTTGATTGCCAGCATCCACAGAGTGGCAAATAATTGTCTTAACCCCAGTTCCAGGGGATCTGACGCCTTCTTCTGGCCTCCGAGCTATCATATGTATAGATAAACAAACATACGTAAGCAAAAAATGCCCATACACATAAAAGAGAAATAAAATATCTCAAAAAAATAAAATTATGGTAAGCTAATGTCAAATGATCACTGAAGAAGTAACTTTTATTTATTCATTATTTATAAATTGAACAGTCCTGTGCACAGCTCTGGAAGAGTCTGCAGCAGTCTGCAGTCCTGTCCCAGGCCTTCACACTAGCTCACCGTCTTGTCCAGAGCAGCTTCCAGTCTTCTTATCCTTTACATCATCTGTTCACTGTATTTCGGATGCAGCACAAATGCTCACCACTATCCATAACTGCCTGCAGCATCCCACACTAGAGCACGCTGTGCCAGTTTGTAGTCTAGGAGCCATAAGACACGCCGAAGAGCCCAAGCACATCGTCACCTATACCAGCTAGGCTTGTGTGACTCTGATGGCCGCACACTGCTGGAGTTGCCTAAGGAGGCAGTTCTCGGGGTGGAGCCCTGGTGACAGATGAGTCATGACTATGTTATTAGTTAAAGACCATAGTGGTTAATCTTTGTTGTTAACTTGATTAAAGACACCTAGCAAATTTGCAGAGGACCTTCTGGGTGTGGTCGTGAGGCTATCTCTAGAGTCAATTCATATGTCCATCTTCAAACTGATTAGGAGAGCCACTCTGAGTGTGGGCAGCTGGAACCTAGGAATATGAAGAGGAAAGAGGGGGTGTCCATATTTGTGTGCACACCGGGTTCTTTTCAGGTGGCTCGGTGTTTGCTGCTGTTGCCATCCCTGGACGTCAGAGATGCCTTTGAACATGGACTCCTGTCAATGACTCTTCAGGGGCTTCCTGGCCTTCTGCCTCAGACTAAGGCTCTATCACTGCTCTCTTGTTCTGAGACGTCCAGCTTCTTGAATTAAGAAGTTATTGGTTTCTGCAGATCTCTAGTCTTCAGAGGCCACTGTGGGACTATACAGCCTTTGGTAATGTGTTCCGATCTGGTCAACATACATACATACATATATGTATATACACACATACATACATACATATGTGTGTGTATATATATATATATATATATATATATATATATATATATATATATATATATAAAATCTACTGATCCTGACTAATAAGTGCTTTTCTTTAGATAGCAAGGTCGTTTACTTCTGCAGTAGAAACTCCCTGGAACTCATCTCCTATGCTGAGCTCAGAGCTCTATTGCTAAGGTAATGATAAACAGACTCTAACTGCTGACGTGAGTTGACAGGGAAACGGCATCAACTCTCTCCTTTGATGCAGTCGCTAAACAAGTACCGAAAGTTTTGAGAGAATCCTTCAAGATCCCCACCCCCTGATGTTTATGCATTTGTGTGCTTTTTTATTAGATCACCGAGCTTACAAATTGCAAATAAGCTGTCTCTACAGATAGAACAAGACTGTGCCCAACCAATCCCAAGGACCTGCCCTTTATTGTAACTGGGTGCACACTGTGGATTTTTGTGTTCTCTTTGGGATTTTTGAAATCATAGAGAAATAAGACAAAAATTCATCACTTAAAAAATGACATGGATTTCTTTTGCTTTCTATGTGATTTAAAGTTTTATGTGCAATACATATCAATTACAATTTTTACAAATCCCTGGCAAATGTCAGAACCTGTGTTTATTATGCAAGAGCAGACCAAGAATATCAGAAATTATTAGGGATACTATCATTTTAAAAAAGGACCTTGGATGAAGGGCAAAATACCCAGGCATTTTAGGAGCAGCCTGGGCGGTATATAGTACTCTGTCTTCACTCCAGCTATAGAAGGCACTGACATCTTCCTCCAACACATGGCGGAATGCAATTATAGCATGCCATCCACATGCCAGCTGCTATCCCACTGAGGATTACTGTTGTAAACCAAGCTAAACTTTTTAAAGACTGTCACAAGTTTTCTTTGTGTTTTGTGCTGTATGTGGGGTGAGAGGTACAGGATAAAAGTGGGAAGGAGAGCAGCATACTCAACAGTTTGGTCATCTGGGGAGATAGCTTAGTGGATAAAATACTTGCTACACAAGGGTCTGCTGGATGTGGCTGCCTACTCATAGTTCCATGGAAAATAGAGGAATCCCCTGAGCAAGATGTCTCGCCAGACTAGTCCTATCAGCCAACTTTGGCTTCAATTGATAGATTCTGTCTCTGCAAATAAGATGGAGAGCGATGGAGGAAGCCAGCCATATGCCTCCCCACACATGCGTGTGCACAACACGTTCACCCCCACACACCTGAACATGCATGCATACACATAGACATGCACAAAAAGAAAAAGATTTTGTAGATACTTTTGTGGTAATAGGGTCTTAAATTCAGCTTTTAAACTGGAATCTTGGCCAAATGAAAAATTTAATAACAAGAATGGCTTTTTTTTTTTTTTTAAACACGACTGCCCTGTGAGATCAGGATGGAGTTCTGCTTGCTTCCACCTAAGAAGTTGCCATCCTTTTACTTCGGGTGGCTTGTTTCCTGAAGTCCCAAGAACAGTGTTTCTTATACAGTTACACTGTAGGGCTGCATTCTGAAGCAGCCTGTCACCAAGTTCTTTTCCAAGCGCTCACCGAGGGCAAGGCTCAGAGACCAGGCATGCACATTTGCATTTGTTGTTGACAACTGTGGGCTTTAGACCGCCCTCCCTTCATAACCCCTGCTAAATGGGACTTGTAATCCCCTTCCCACCCACTCTCTTACTCCCTAGGGCAAGAATGTGGACTCCTGCTCTCTGTCACCTGTCAGAATCCATCCTCCTGTCACTGGCTTATATGGACAAGTCAGTCCAGGGTCACGTGACCTTGGGTTTCTAAAAACAGCTCCATCACCCACTCTGAACCAGGGCCTGAAGCAATGTCTTCCGTAGAGAGAAACATAAAGGACACTTAATCGCACAGTCCTTGGAATTATTTCCAGGAAACACTTGCAGAAGCCATTTGGGAGTCCTGGCGGCACAGTCAGGGGCGGCCAGGAAATGAGCGCTTCTTTGAACTACAAGTCTTTCTCCAAAGAGCAGCAGACCATGGATAACTTGGAGAAACAATTGATCTGTCCCATCTGCCTAGAGATGTTCACGAAGCCTGTAGTCATTCTCCCCTGCCAGCACAACCTGTGCAGGAAATGTGCCAGTGACATCTTCCAGGTAGGTTTGTTTGGAATTTGGAGGGTGTGGAGTGTCCCTCCATCCTGCATCAAGTGTTTGAAACCAAAGCCGGTCGGTCCCCTTAGCGAGCTCTCTGAGGCTGTTTTCAATGGGCTTGAATCATTTCCCTGGGTTTGGCTATCAACTTCCTCCTCACTTCCAAATCCAGTTGTGTCTTAATTCTAAGAACCTGTTTGTCCTTAGTAAAACAAAACAGATGCGTTGAATCTGTTTAAAAGTTGAAAATGAGCTACTGGCCAGGGTATGAGCATTGGAGCTTCTGGTTGAAACTCTGAGTTATGAAAATACCGGACAGAAAAACACTTCTTGCTGAGGAGGGTGTACTGTAGGTCTGGCTGTGGATCAGGGGAGGCTCCGTGTTCCAGACCGCTTGCAGGAAGCCCTGAGGAGTCCATATTGTGCATGGTGTCAGAGAGTGAAAATAGTCTCCAAAAAACTCCCGTGGCATTACTCAGTTCCTTTTTTTTCCTTGCTGGGCAAGAACAGGCCTCTAACCCGTACTTACCCACAAGAGGAGGCACCACTGTGGCATCAGGGGGTCGATTCCGCTGTCCCTCCTGCAGACACGAGGTGGTGTTAGACAGACATGGGGTTTATGGACTTCAGAGGAACCTGCTCGTGGAAAACATCATTGACATCTACAAGCAGGAATCCACCAGGTAAGAGCTGCTCTCAGAGCCAGACCTACTGGAGGCTTCGTCTGCTTGTTTTCAGCTTAATGGGTCGATGCACTACATGTTTGTTACCAGTCACAGGTTAATTGTTCCTTAAAAGGCTTTCCATGTCAGTCCTTCCCAATGAGACAGAGTTACTCACGAGGGAAGAAGGGAGCAGTTTGCATGCTTCTGTGCCATCAAAGGTAGCTATGTTGAAAGAGGTGTGATGCCACCCCACAGCCTTGTATTCCATTCATTTTAGACATGTTGACACATGTAGGTTCCTTGTAAGTCCAGATCCTATGTTATAGAAAAACTCTAGTGCAATCATGTATATAAGGTAAGAAACATCACTGTCCAAAATACCCCAAATTCCCAGTTGTCTTGCCTTAAAATTGTCTAAACAGCAGTAATACTTATAATTTAAAAACACTCTGACATCATTGCTTGTCCTAATATTGACCCTATGGCACGTTCAAGGCAAGATACAATGCTGATTTTCAGGAACTTCATTTACAGAAATGGGAGAGGAAATGCATTTCAGGCTGTTTCCCTATGACTTCATACTCTTAGCACCCACTTGCTGATTGAGGTATGTCATATGCATTCATTCATTAAAACATTTTTAAAGGCTTCTTATTATCATCACACCACATAAGTCATGCAGTTCCTTTCCTAGAGATGAAACTGCAGAGTTTATTCCTAGAAGGCACAGTGTGAAGAGCCCTGTCTCCATTCTGCACAGGTCATTTGAGTTCAAAATCTTGGTTTCCATATGGAGATCATGTAGAAATGGACCCATTGTGATCCTTATTACAAGGGGCATGTGCTTACGGAACATCTGCAAGGCTGTAAATGCCTTGCACTCTTTGCAGGAAAGTAGTTCCATTAATCTAACATGTAATTATTGTGATTATTATACCCATTAGTTTCTGCTCAAGATTCAGAGCTAAATTAGATAGCACCAGGCTATAGAGAGAATTGAGGAAGAATTGCTGATGACATATTGCAGCCACCTGTTTCCCTTGCTTCCAAATCTACTGCCAAGAAGGACAGTGTTACCAGAGTTACAGACCTGACTGCACTGTATTGCATCGTGTATCCCAATGGATACATCTATACAATGTCCCCACTCCCAGGGCTCAGGGGACATTGCAGAAGAAGGGGAGGAAAGACTCAGAGTCAGCCGATCAGGGAGTTTGCTGTGAGACTGTGTCAGCTGCCCCCATAACTGCCCCCCCCCCCAATGCGACTGCCTAAGTGTGAGCTGAACAAGGACAATAGACATGCCAGAGTGGACAGGGACAGAGCTCGAGGCTTCAAACCACAAAGAACTACAGGCGACAAAGGAATGTTGAGATCAGGAGAAATAGTCTTCCCCAGCAAAGAGCACACCAACTGGTTATCCGATTCCAAATGGTCAGTCCTGAAAACATAACAAGAGTAACATTGAGTAGACTGAGCAGGTTTTATTTAGAAATATATGTATATACATATATGCACTTAATAACAATTTAAAAAGAGGCTGTGAATTTGAAAGGGAGAAAGCGGGGGTAGATGGGAGGGCTTGGAGGGAGGAAAGAGAAGGTAGAAATGATGTAATTATAATCTCAAAAATAAAAAAATTCATCTGCACATTGTTTCCTTAAGAGATTACCCTGCCAACTGATGACCAACCAATTATTAAAGGCATTTATGTGACTGTGGTTTCAGTATCAAATACAGCACCTTTCCAGAACAGGGGCTCCACAATGCTAGCTCCATACGCAGCTCAAGGAAATGCAGCACCAATAGTCTTCTGGGTTCTGTTTATTACAGTTGTCTTTCCTTCTTAACACTCACCTAGTGTTTTCAAACTTCAAACATGAACATAATAGTATTTACTATGAAACCTAGAGGTCAGGAAATGTTAAAACTTGTAGTGTTTGTACAACTAAGAGACATAGCCTTGCCTTAACCATGAAGTCAGCCTAGTGCCTCTTCAGAGGATGAGGAACAAATTGTACAAAAACAATGATCCAAATACCCATCACTAAAGCAAGAGCTGACTGGAATAGGGATAATAGGGATTTTGTGATTATGAAAATCATACATTCTTTCTTAAACTCAAGTCACTTGGGGTATTTCTACATGGTAGTTGCCTAGAAGGGCTTAGTCACATCAAATTAGCTGTTCCTGAAGTTGGGCAGTCATACCAGCCCTCAACCCCACACCTCAGGATATATTAGATGACCTTAAAATACCTTAGGTATGCAGAATAAGCTAACCCCAGCTCTAGTCTTTGGCCGTGTCCACAGAGAGGGAAAAGGCTGCTGGGATCGACTTTGAAGTATCATTCAACCCTGGCCTCTCACAGAACAGCTGGAGTCTTGACAAACCCTGGCCTTATCTGTCATTCTGCATGGTGATGCACTATCCACAGTTTGGCTTGGGCAAGAGAAGGCACTAACTCGGTTAATATTATTGAGCATCGTGATTAATTTATTGACCTAATAAGCAAAATGGCTTTGTGTTGCGTGCTAGACCTGTTCAGGAGCTTCACCTGTGAATCAGGTGTGATTCCGTGATGCTCCCAATAGTCCTCTGAGGTGGGTTTTATTATCACCCTATCAAAATTTTTGAATGCTTATGTGTCTGTGTGTGTGTGAGATACGCATGTATGTGTGTTCATGTGTGGGCAGGTGTGTGTCCACATGTGTGTGGAGGCCAGTGGTTGACCAGATGTTCTGCTCTGTTGCACTCTACTTCATTATTAAAAGACAGGGCCTGTCTCTGAAACAGGAGCACCGCTGGCCGGCAAGCTCCAGGGGTTCTCGTTAGTGTCATGTGTTAGGATCACAGACACACACCACCACACTCTGTTTTTAAAGATGCTTAGAATCAAATTCAGGTCCCCATGCTTGCATGGCAAGAACTTTACTGACTAAGACATTTCCCCAGCCCTGATTAAGTGCTGCAAGGGGAATGAAATACACGAATACTTTCATTTTAAAGAGTCCTAAGCAGGACTACGAGGCCTCCAGTGAGAAGGGTTGCCCACCTTTCTGTCTCACACTCTGTCACTCCCCAAATGCAATAACTTTCAATTCTCCTAGCTGCTTCCTGCTGTTTATCACCAACGGTAATTGTGTTACTGGTTTGTTTTTTAACAACATTTTTAGATTTATTTATTTTATGTGTATGAGTGTTCTGCCTGCGTGCATGGATGTGTACTATGTATATGCCTGATGCCTGTGGAGGTCAGAAGAGGGTGTCTAGAACTGGAGTTATACATGGTTATGAGCAACCACGTGGATGCTGGGAACCGAACTCTGGTCCTGTGCAAGAGCATCGTGTGCTTTTAACCACTGAGCCAATTCTCCCAGCCATGTGTATGTTGCTGTTATGTTTCTATCTCTTGGTTTTGTTTTTCAGTGTTAGGGGTAGGGTGAACCCTCTCAGTGCTGAATTCTGCTCTCAACTTGGGAATTCCTTCCCCCTTGGAGCTGTGTCTTATCTGTTGGCTTATGGTATTGCTTCTATGGACCACATCTCCATATGTAATCTCTTAAAATGTCCACTGAGTCCTCTTCTTTGTAGCCTGCCTTCACAATATCCCATAGAGCTTCTGCTAAAGATTTTGGCTTCAGTTCTAGAAACTTCCTAGGAATCTCAGCTTCTTGTAGGCTTCTGCGCCGCAGGCCATCAGCAGTAATGCAGCAGAAGGAAGTCACTTGGCTTTTGTCAAGATGTTTCCAACTTCAGCCTTTGGTCGACCGCTCCTATTTGTTGCCATCTCACCTTTTGTGTTTATTATTTTTATATATTTTTATTTCCTTGATCTCAAGAGTTTCCCCCTGGAAACATAAATAACTGCCTCTGCTCATTCTGTCTCATTTAATTATTCCTAGATGAGTGAAAACTGACGTCAAAGGTTTAGTAATATATTTATCATTATATCAACACATGCAGAAGTTGAGCTGGAATTAAGCTTCAGATCCCTTTAACTCTAGCAGGACTAACTGATCTTCCTCACCAGGACTTAATGCTCACTCCTCAGTAAACACTATGGTAGCCCCAGCAACCCAGGGGATCAGAGAGAACAAGCTACAGGTGCCCGCAGTACTGAACAGTGAGAGGCCACTTCCAGCATGCTGCTCTGAGCCTTGAACAGCAACGGTGTGACCAGCCACCCTCACCTACCTACTAGGAAGGGTTTGCATCCTCAATTCTCTATGCCCAACTTGTTTCAGGTCTGTTATTTGGTGTAAGTTGTCCACAGGTTTTTCTCATGCACTTACTAAAAGAGATTGGTGCCTCTAGGCCCATGCAGCGCCTAAACAAAGCAAAAAACAAAACAACATCAAAAACTACTAATAAATAAAGGGTATTATGGAAAAAATGAGTAAGTTGAATCACAAAAGTAAAATATAAACTTCTGGCTGTTTCCACATGTTCAACATCTGTGTTTCCTGTATCGCTTGAGCTGACACTGTCTCTGCTTGTATCTGCTGCCATCACAGCCGCCCAAGCGGGCGGCGGCGCCCTCGGGACGTGTGTAGGGAAGATAAGCTACATTAGCATGCCTGTGCTGTGTTGTCTCCAGTGGCCAACCTCCAGACTCCAGCAAAGCCCAAGTTAACATAATGTGCAGATGGCTTGGAGCAGGCAGAGGCCACCTTGTGACTCCTACTCTCCAGATAGCCCCCAAGTCCCAACCGATCCTGGATTTTCCCACTTCATTTTGATTTTATCATCCATTCATTCAACAAACATTTCGGCAGCACTCCTCTCTGTGTGGAGCACTGCTCTAGGCACAGGGTATACAGCAAAGAGGACCACAGACGTGGCTCACATTCTGGTGGAGACAGGCCTGGGAAGGGAAAACGATCTTCCCATTCACGGCCACACTTCCTCTCTTGAGTCTCAAATAAACGGGGGAATCAGGAGGCCGCAGATTTCATGAACGCATACAGCTTCAGGACCAGACAGAGATTCCTCTTGCAAACACCAGATTCCAAAATCTTGAACCCGGAAGCTCGTGAAACTTCCTTATGAGACCTAGAGCTTTCCCCGTATTTATTTCTGCCAGTGTCAAGTACAGGACTTCTACCCAGTACCATAGAGATCTATCACCACGCCCCCTGCCTTCTGGATCTGGTACTGCAGCTGCATAATCCCACACACCAAGCCCAGGGTTTCTAAACCCTTGGACGCATGACTCCCAGGAGAGAGTGTGTTTTACATCACACTGCATCTTTACACATCTGAATGATATAAAATACATATTTTGGTTTCGCATATGCATATTTACATCACACAGTGTACATATGTAATCCACACAGATACTTGAAGCAACACTTTCACGTTTAATTCTTGTAATTCCTACCACAGGTAATTCACGGTTTGGCTGCTCTACTTCATTTTGATTTTAGAAACACCGTCTCTTACTTGCTAAATGGGTTCCTTGTCCATACAACCCTGTGGTTTTTAAGAAGGAGATCTCATCAGCAACCGAAAAAAAAAAAAGTAGTGGCTGAAGTGAGATGTTTCTAAATAACTACATTTGGGACTATGAGAAACTTGTGAATTTGGATTTATTTTCAAACCTTTCTAACAGTCTGAGTCTTAACTTTTAAAATGTTACATGTATTTATTTATGGTGCGTGTGGGGGGTGGGGCGGGGTGTGCTCATGAGGAAGACAATTCACAGCAGCCAGTTCTCTCCTTCCACCATGCAGGTCCTGGATGGAGGGTAGCAAGTGCTGGTACCCACTGACCCATCTTGCTGCTCCCAGGCTCTGTCTTTATGTGGGATAAATCCAATTTCTGGGTTTTATATAAGGAGGCGACACCTATAGCAAACTGATTCTATTTCTCCTTGGCTCTTCAGTTATCAGACTTGTAGGTAGGAAAGGTTTTCTGGGGCCAGAGGCTGGAGGGGTGACACTGAGCAATCCCACCAGCCTATCTAAACTGGAGATGGAGCTCACCCCCAACTTCCTCTCCATCCATAGTAAGGTTTCCAGAAACCTGTGAGCTTGTCTGTGGGCACAGAGCTGGAATGAGCTCCAAATGGCTGGCCAGGGTCCAGGGCTGAACTTTCAGGAATTTCACGTGGCAGTTTTTAAATTTTGAACTGATGTGAACACACCATAAAATTTGACAAATACTACCTGACAAATGAGTGTCTGTGGTCCTGAGTCTCAGCTCAGGCAGACAGAGATTTGTCAGCACCAAATTGAACATGAAAAGCTCTGGGAGTCTTCTGGTTAGGGTTGGGAGGTGGGGTAGAGGGTGGTGGTCTGGGCCAGTCAGTTCGCAAAGCTTACCACCCCTCTGCTCTGCTCCGGTAGATGTTGATACATATGTATCTTCCTACCTCCTCCCAGGCCAGAAAAAAAGTCCGACCAGCCCATGTGTGAAGAGCATGAAGATGAACGCATTAACATCTACTGTCTGAACTGTGAGGTGCCCACCTGCTCCTTGTGCAAAGTGTTTGGCGCCCACAAGGACTGCCAGGTGGCTCCCCTTACCCATGTGTTCCAGAGGCAGAAGGTAGGAACTTCAATTCCCCTCCTCCTCAGCCCCTTCTAAGCACTAGCCAAGCAGCTCCCTGTGGCCAAAAGGGGGAGCCCAGCAAAAGGAAGGCTGTATGTGGAAGGCCCACAGTCTTGCAGTTGTTCTCAAGTTGATTCTGTCCAAGGCTGTGGAGTTGGCCAGAGAGGGAGAATGCTAAGGTTCAGAAAACGGTGCAGAAGGGCTAGGTCACTTTCTGTGACCTTTGGAGGTTGCCGAAGATACCTAGTGTTAAGGGGGCTGGTCAAGGGCCAGCTGCTGAAGATGACTCAGCGTTCAACACAGACAAGAATTAGATGGTCTTCGATTCCCCTTCCAGACCTAGAATAATTTTTGTCGCTCATCAGTAAAATGTCCCCCTGCTCTCTCCCACTTTCCTTACCTGCTCCTTGTGAGGGAGAGTCAACCATGGCACACAGTTACAGAACAACTTGAAGACTGGCCCTCCGGCTGGCCTTCAAGTCGCCTACGCCAGATGCCAAAAGGCACCCTTGAGTGTAGTCCATGTCCCTCTCCCCAGGGACTGAATCTGGGCCTCCCCATTCTGACTCTGGTCCTCCCCAGCTCATCGGCCCTGCATCCTGCTGCAGCAGCCCAGAAGTCATGCTTCTATGAAAATGAAAGGGGTGCACATGTCGGGATGTCAGCCTCATGGCTGTGTCTTCCACTTACAGCCATTGATTCCAGTTTTACCTCAGGGACCAGAGTTGAAATCAATTTGGAAGCCAAACTTTTGTAACATCTGTCCCAATCAATAACCATGATTTGCGTTTGTTGCTATTACTTATTTTCAACTTACTTTTTTGTTAACTTTGATCCCTCCTCTCCTTGTCCCCAAAGCCTAGCACAGTATAGAGCTGTATGGTATCCACTTTTGACTACTTCCCTCAGAGGCCTGGAAATTCATGGGATGGGGAGTAGGACTCCTATGCCTTTCCTTTTCAGTCAGAGTCCCTTCACATTTACTAATAGGTTTCCATAGTAACGTCGACGTGTATTGATGACTGCAGGGTTTTGTTTGTTTGTTTGTTTCTTTTTTTGGTTGTTGTTGTTTCAAGACAAGGTTTCTCTGTGTAGCCCCGGTTATTCTGGAACTCATTTTGTAGACCAGGCTGCCTCGAACTCATGTAGATTCAACTCCAGTTTTCAAATGCTTTACAACCAGTTTTACTGGGTTTTGGACTGGACCTCTCCTTTTAAATATGAGAAAATTCAGATTCAAATTGGTTACACGTGTTGCTCAATAACCTGGAGAAATTCAGGCCAAAGGGAGATTAGAGCTAGATTTCCCAAGTCTCCATTCAGCACTCCTTGTGGCCCCCTGTCCAATTTGGGAGGAGGGTAAATAGGAAGAGAACATTACTTCTTGGGCTAAAAGAACACAGGAATTTTAAGGTTGTAATAGCTCTGCTAAAGCCAGCCCCATGTGACAGTTTCAAGTTTGTGTGACAGTCTGGTGAACATTTGTATGTATCTGCACTATATTAGCATAATAGGATTGAAATATACATATGCCCAATAGATAAATATTTACTGCATTTATTGCTCAGGTAAAATTAGCCCTGAGCCGCACTGGACAATTCATTTTGAGCTCCCTTGTCACATCTCTGAGTCCGTCACATTGTTCCACTTATGAACAATGTTCAGAATTCTCCAGCTTCAATGTACTATTATTTATTGATGGCTTATAATTGGGTGTTCTTCACGTTTTCAACAGAATCCAGGTCTTCAGCAATAATGTGATAAAAACTATGGAACCTTGTCGCACACAAAGTCAAAGTTGGCTTGCAAAATCAAGAGGCTCCAAGGTTTCCCATGACTAGCCCCCACCTCAGTCTTTAGATGGGATTAATCACATTTCCTGGGTTTTATATAAGGAGGCTACACCCACACCTACCTCTTACAGTGACTTAACTCACACCTAAATTAATAATGACAGAACATTCTGGCTTTCCTTGGCCACCTTCACCCTCAGACTTGTTTTCTGGGGCCAGAGTGGCATCACTGAGCAACCCCACCAGCCTAAACGGAGATGGAGTTCACCAGCAGTCTCCTCTTCTTCACCCACAGTAAGGACATGTCTCAGGAGAAATCCACCGGCTTGTTTGTGGGCTTGTTTACTCCTTAGGGATTAAATCCACCGCTACCCCCGGAGGATAGTGGTGTGACCAGCTCATGATCATCCATGGCTAGGAAAACTCTATTATCTCAAGTCCTGTTTTCTCTTCATTAGTCAGAACTCAGTGACGGCATTGCCATACTTGTGGGAAGCATGGTGTGACCAGCTCATGATCATCCATGGCTAGGAAAGCCCTAACATCTCCAGTCCTGTTTTCTCTTCATTAGTCAGAACTCAGTGACGGCATTGCCATACTTGTGGGAAGCAACGACCGAGTCCAGGGGGTGATCAGCCAGCTGGAGGACACCTGTAAAACAATCGAGGTAAGTCAGTTGGCACACAGGGACACAAAACCAATCCTAATACTCCTAGGGCCCAGTGGTTGTCTCAGTGACACACTAAAAGTCCCATCCCAATGTTCCATTCTTTCCTTAGAGAATGGGCTCCTTCCTGGTGTGTCTCAAATACTTCCTGGCACTTCAGAGAAGTTACCTCACAGTTTGGTGAGGTAGACTTTTACTACAGTTGCTCAGGCAGTTATTATGTGTGTGTCCTTCCTCAGTCAACTCCTTCTGAAAGATTAGCAACAAGACAAGTCAGTTGCCAGCAATGGAAGTGAGCACTATTGCTATTATTTAATAAGATTTCTTGGCGGAAGCCTGGACAGCCTTCAGAAATGCTGATGGTGCTTCAGGAAGTCTTGTGAAGGTGTCGCCTGCACACCTGGGCTCTCATAACAGCCATCATGGGGGACCCTGAGGAGGAGAAAGGTCTCCCCAGCTGTGGCTAACAGGCTGGGGTATTAACCACTCAGCTTCCGGTACACTGTTCTCGTTGTTGTGTGCAAGACCCCTCTTATAAACTATTATTTCCTCTTGTCCCCCTTTCCTCAAGATAAGAGTTCTAACATGTTGGATGGTCTCTGTGTGTCCATTCACATAAAATATGTATTGAGGATTTTGTTTGTTTGTTTGTTTGTTTTTGTTGTTGTTGTTTTTTTTGGGGGGGGGGTTTGAGACAGGGTTTCTCTGTAGCTTTGGAGCCTGTCCTGGACTAGCTCTGTAGACCAGGCTGGCCTCAAACTCACAGAGATCCACCTGCCTCTGCCTCCCGAGTGCTGGGATTACAGGCGTGTGCCACCACCGCCCGGCTCATGTATTGTTTTTTAATGTATGTGTCTTAGTTACTTTTCTATTATTATGAAGACACACCATGTCCAAAACAACTTATAAAAGACAGCATTTAACTGGGGGCTTGCTTCCAGATTCAGAGGTTGAGTCCATGACGATCATTGTGGGGAGCATGGCAGCAGGCAGGTATGGCGCGATAGTAGTAGCTGAGAGCTTACATCTTGTCTGTTTGGAAGCAGGGGGAGAGAGAGACAGAGACAGAGAGAAAGAGACAGAAAGAGAGACACAGAGACAGAGAGAGAGACAGAGAAAGAGAGAGAGACTGGGCCTGATGTGGGCTTTTGAAACTTCAAAGCCTACCCCCAATGACACTCCTCCCCCAACAAGGCCATACCTCCTAATTCTTGTCAAAACAGTTTCACCAACTAGGGACCAAGCATTCAAATATATGAGCGTATGGGGTCACTCTCATGCAAACCACCATGGTATGCATGCCTTTTAATTTTACAATTGCTACTGCATTATAGCTTCTTTGTGTTTTGAACCAAGCATTATGTTTTTAAGATCCATCCATGTTACTATAAGCATGAAAGGGGACAATCTCCCTTATTCTGCAGAGCTTACAGGCAATGAAGTGTGTGGTCTCATTACTTTCCTATTACCAAGGCAAAATCTATTATTACAAATCGAAGGCCAGGTCCTAGGGGATGGCTTCAAGACTTCATTAGTTATCATTTCCCGTCTTAGATTTACACATCACTAAAATCGATTTCCTTTCTTCTCCACACTCATATTACTGAAAAGACCTTTGGTACATGGAGATTCACTTACAGAAGAAATATTTTTTCTTGGTAAAGAGCCTAAGAGATTCAGAAATGGGCAATATAAACTGTTTTCTCTCTACTTACTTACAGTGAAGACCAGTCAGTCACTGGCCATGAATCAGCACTCCGATATGGGGCTCCGTTGGGTCTGGCGTTTATAAATAGCCTGTTGCTTGTGTTGAGTGAGGCTGTCTCTAGCCATCTCCTGGGACTGTGAAACCTCCCTAGAGATGTCTTTGTGGAGAGGCTGGCTTCCTGTCTGGGATAAAGACATCAAAAGATGTGTGGAAAGTCCTGTGGGCCACTGAAGTCTTGGGAAACAACTTGACTCGACTGTGTTTGGGAAGGACAAGGGGCATCTGTCACTGAGGCTAGCCAGAGTCTCAGCAGGAAGCAGCGGTCTCTAGTTACACTTGAGAACAAGCCAAGAAAGTACAGGTTTAAAGCTAATTCAGCAGAAAGGGTTTAGTTAGGGACAGTATGGAGAGCAGCCGAGGTCAGGATCATCACTCTTTTCTTACTGGTAATGTCACCACCCAGCATGGTACACTCTTATAAGTATTTCCACAAAGTCCTGGAAAGGTATGCTATCACTCCTTCTGAGTCATTAAGCTATTGGTCGTCTTTAAAGTGCTCCTATTTACACCAGGCTCGGTGATGGACACCTATAATTCCAGCTACTCGGGAGGGTGAGGCAGGGGGATTAGAATTTCTAGACTAACCTATATAAAAATAAAATAAAAATAAAAAGGGATAAAGAGTGATTTCTAGCATACAAAGACGCTGAGTCCAACCCCAGTTCTTTGAGGAAAAATTAATCTACCCACGTTCACATGTTTATTTCAGTCATTGGGCTTATTGGGAAATAAGATTTTTTTTTTTTTAAAAGCACCATGAGCATAGGGTTCTGCATATTATATAGGATATACAGATTCATACCCGACCATTTTGAATGTCTACATTCATATCTAATCAGTACTTTCATGGGAGGGAAATGCTAAAGGGCTAGGACCTTTGAACAGCACAACTGGGGTTGGGAGTTTTGTTGTTCGTTTGTGATAGGTTCTCCCTCTAGCCCAGACTGGCCTTGAACTCATGGTTTTTATGTCCTTTCTCAGCTTCCTGAATGCTGGGATTAGCGACACAAGCCATCATGTCTGGCGATTTTCAATGCCTTACTTACGTATTCCTGCACTTCCCACCTTTGTAAAGTGAGTCGATGTTTTTATAGCTGGTAACACCAGGCGGGAATGAGCAGATGTGGTAACACCAGGCGGGAGTGAGCAGATGTGGTAACACCAGGTGGGAATGAGCAGATATGGTATCACCAGGAGGGAGTGAGCAGATGTGGTAACACCAGGCGGGAATGAGCAGATGTGGTGTGCATAAGCATGGCTCTTTCTTGTCAGTTTGGGTGTTTCATGTGGAGATGGAGGGGCTGCCTCAGAGCCACACGGAGATCTTTAACTATGATTCCTGTGCTCTGCTTCAAAAGGCCTGAGGTCAGGCAAGCATCCACCTGGTTCGCCTCTAACTCCTACAGGGTGGTGGATGAAGGAACAACTTAAATTCTTTGTCCTTCAACTTCCTCAGCTTTAGAGTGGGCTGATAGCCCGAGACACATTGCTGCGATGATAAAGGGGTAAGAGACACATTCAAGGAGCTTACTATTACATCATGCCTTCCCTGAATCAGCATGGAGCACGCACACTTGTCTGGTGATACGAGTGAACCATCAGCTGATTGACTGGAAACCGTTGTCAATGGTGTAAGAAGATTATCAGGGCCCTGCTTAGTCAAAATGGCAAAACTGAGCAGCTCCCTCCAGAGCGAAAATGGCAAGTGAACGGGAAGTCAGCATTCACTCTATTCTTGTGAGAACCCCAAATACTGCCGAGGAAGGGAGAATGAACACCTCTGGGGTGCACGCTGTCTTCTGCAGAGTATAGTGAGCTACACATATACTCAGGGAGCCACATGGCTTTCCTGAACCTGCACCCACCTGCCCTCAGGCTTCAACAGCGTTTACCCAAGAGGAATTTAAATGGTCTGGATTGGCCCAGAAAAGCTCTAATGCCAAGGCTATAAACAGCAAGCATTATTTAAATGCCACACATCACTTCACTATCCTCACATGTGAGCATCAGCTGGGAGACCCCAGAACCCCGGCCAGTACAGAGTTGTTTTGATGAGCAAGGGCCCAGGCCGAGAGGGCAGGGGCTGAAGCCCAGCCTGGGCCCAAAGGTCCAATTTGTTCTTTCACTAGAAACATTCTAGTCTGTGTTCATGGGACTTCTCCAAGCATTTATAACTGGAGCCTTGCAAATGAATGCTTGGGCTTACTAACCTCACTCCTTAAGATGGTTCTTTGTTCAGTGTTACTAACTTGATGTCTGTTTTTCTATTTCTTCTTGGGGGGAGAGCGGAATGGGGCTTTTGAAGTACTGAATCTCACATGCAGTCGCATTTCTGCACAAGTGTGTCCAGATGAATGCTGGAGGAATGTGGAGGAGACGAATGGGTGGTAGAGTCACAGGTGCTCAGCGACAAGTGGCCAGGCTGAGGCTTTATCTTCAGGCTATTTTGGACACAGAGCTATGCTCCTTACATGGCGAAAGCAGCAGTCATAATCACTTTAGAATTTCCCTGTCGTGCCTATGGCACATGCCTAAACTGGGTCTGACGTTTTGTCTTACTTCTGTACATGACACTCTGAAACTGGCTGGGAATGGAGAGAGGAATGTTGTAGCCTGAAGGACATCAGAGACATCTCCACATTTCTAAGTCGGAGTCTTGGAGCTGTAGAGTCAGAGACATCATCAGTTATCAATCTGGACTGTCACTACTATGCACATCATCTTTTAAAAATTGTCCAGAGAGTAAGTGGGTTCCATAACTTTGAATAGTTGTGTTCAGTGTTTCTTTTCGAGGAGTAGATCAAGTAGAGATTTGGAATATACATTTAAGTATTTATTTCCCTGGGACAGGATAAAGTGGAAGCTTTTGAATGGAGTCAAATATTTATACATGCAAATCATTTGATCATCTTCTAAACCCCCACATTCCAAGAGGTTATTGAATGTTTCATTGTGTTCACATAATGCTGGGGGAGAACTATGTCCTAAATATTTTTTTTAATTCTTTGGGAGACCTGCCACCTAGCTCCCAAATAAATACATGCAGACTTATTCTACCTTATGAACGCCCGGCCTTAGCTTGGCATGTTTCTAGCCAACTTTTCTAACTTAATTTAAATTATCCCATTTCCCTTTAACTATGCTTTGCCTCTGGGCTTTTTACCTTTCTTTATGCTGTATATCTCTTTCCTTCTTACTCTGTGGCTGGCTGTGTGGCTGGTGGCTGCCCCCC